TTTTTTTAAGGAGCTCTGGTGGTGTAGCAGTTTAACCATTCAGCTGCTAGCCAAAAAGTCAGTGGTTTGAACCCACCAACTGTTCTGGGGAAGAAAGGCAGTCTGCTTCTATAAGGATTTACAGCCTTGAAAGCCCTATGGGGCAGTTCTACTCTGTCCTAAGGGCAGCTATGAATTGTATCAACTTGATGTCAGGGTCGCTGAGCCCTCGTTCCTACCTCTCAAAAATGGAGTAGTAAACCAAAAACCAAACCCACTGCTATTGAATTGATTCTGACTCAGCAACCTCCATCAGGTTTCTAAGGCTATAAATCTTTTACAGAAGTAGATTGGCTCATCTTCCTCCCATGGAGTTGCTGGTTGGTTCGAACCACCTCCCTTTTGGTTAGCAGTCCAATGCCTTAACCACAGAACCACCAGAGCTCCTTTATGGAGTAGGAATACCTACTTAATATGCTTGTCATAAGAATTAAATGAGACAATCTATGTAAAGTGCCTTCCAGAATCACTACTACACAGAATATCTCAATAAATGTTAGATATTTCCCCTTCAAGTAGTAGTCAACTTTGTAACTATTGAGGCTGTATGGAGTGAAAATACTTGCTTTAGGAAAAGTATGTACTGGGTTGTATTATTGTGAAGTGGGGACATAAGAATTGTACTTATTTATTGTATGTTCTTAATTCTTCTTTTCCTTTTCTTAATGCAGGGCTTACCACCCAGAAGATGGAAGGCAGAAGTCACCCACCTGAGTTGTCCAGAGCCTACAGTGTTTGATTTCTCTCCTCTGGCTCCACGTTGGAACTCTTTACGAGATATGTGGATACCAAGCTTCCAGCAATCCAAGAAAGAAGCCCAGGCACTAAGGTGGCTGGTTGATAGGAATCAAAACTTTTCAGCTCATGAGTTTTGGGCCCTTGTATTCAAGGACTAATTTCAAAAAGTATCAGAATGACATAGACTAAAGTCTTCTTGAGGTTTATTTTCTAGGTTGCCTTAATATTTGAATATAATAGTTATTCTTTTAACTATCCTTTAGGATAAGAATTAATTGCTACATTACTCATAATGAGCCCTATCAGGTAATAGGTATAAATGATCTTTAGGGGTCAACTTTATATTTTTTTTTAATACTAAAAACTAAATATTTCTTATGGACATTGATCACCTTCAGTTTTTGTGTCTAGATCTGTGTACCTGCTGCCTTTTGTGGAAGTTCATCTAATGTAAAGTTCACCTAAAGTACTTTCCTTGCTGCATGGGAAGCAGAGTCTGTGTTGTGGATTCATGATTCTTACCTCACTGTCAGCAATTTATTGGTATTAGCAAGCCCGTGTCCTGGTGCTGAGCATGGACGTGAAATGCATTAGAACTTGGCAATGAGAAATTCCATCTGTTGGTTTCCAGAGTTGTTAAATGAGTGACCAAAGCTACATAAAAGTCTGTTCACTAGCCAGTTATCACATCAAAAGAACATGTGCATGTGTCTACCTTCTCCTTTCTGTTAGTTATCTCTGTTACCTTTTGTTAATTTTATCTGTCCCTGTGCCACTGCCTTCCAAAATCAGATTGCATTATAAAGACATGACTCTTCCTTGTGTATTTTGATCAGTGAGATGGTTTCAATTATACCTAACATATACTATTGAGTAGAAAAAAATAAGAATGTTATGATTGAAGCTATACTACTTGTACATTTTAATGAATGTGAGAATTGAATGGAATGCCCCAGGAATTCCCATTGTGTTGAACCTGATTTGTCTTTTCTGAGGATGACGTACAGCCTTCGATGGCAGACAGCCATAGGTGTCTGTGAGCATTTCCTGTTTGTTTATGATCCTGTCCTGGAGAAGACTCAGTTGTCTTATCTGGAGCTGTCTACTGTGAGCGCCACAGAAGACAAGGAGAAACAACATTGGCTCATATTTTCTTTCCATATGAGAA